CCCCCCCTCCCCAGTATTGGGAATTGAACCTAGGGAAACTGTACCTCTGAGCTATATCCCCAACCCTTTTCATTTTTTATTTTGAGACAGGGTCTCCCTAATTTGCGCAGGATGTCCTAGAACTTACAATCCTTGTGCCTTAGCCTCCTGGGTAGCTGGGATTTCAGGCAATTGCCACAGGGCTTGGCCTCATTCTTCTACCTCCCATCTGCCAAACATGGTTACCTGTTTTCTTTCCACCTTTGCTGGCTGATCCAAATAGGGCCTTTTCTTAGCATTACATGTGTTTCATATTGATCTCTGCTTTGTTGATTTGGCCTTTTTCTTATGTTGGAAACTCCTCATGTTTTTTTATTCTAAACTGTATAGATTTTGTAGACTATCTTTTACACATACTAAAATATTACCTTCTTATTAACACAAAGCACCTATTTTTCTTTTGTTTTGTTGCTATAGATTTGTCATTACCAATGAATATAAGTGAAGTATTGAAATGTAGGGGAAAAAAATCCTGCCTAGAAAGCAGTTTACCTAAACATTAAAAATTGATTTAAATGGCTGAAGTTACATAGAATTGTAGACTCTGCTGGCAACTACCACCACCTTTGTCCACACCCTATTTTTTGCAATACCGGTTGGGGAAGTGACTTGTCATACAGTTCCACATGAAGGAAGTAAGTACTAGAGGAAAAGGAGTGGGAGACTTTGATTCAAATAGTGTTCATAGGATTTCCAGATTACTTTTTTCTTTAGTATTATTGTATTTAGAACACTAATGTATATATTATCTTGCGGATGAGACTAATTTCTATCTTATATATTTCTCTTTTCTCTTTTTTTGTACTGGGAATTGAATCCAGGGCACTTTACCACTGAACCACATCCCCAGCCCTTAATTTTATTTTTTAATTTTTTTATTTTTGAGCAGAGTCTTGCTCTCTTGCTTAGAACTTCACTAAATGATGAGGCCAGCCTCAAATTTGTAGTCTTCCTGCTGCAGCCTCCTGAGTCACTGGGATTACAGGTGTGCACCACTGTGCCCAGATTTATCTTGTGTTTCTTTAATTTAGTTGGAATGACTTCTGAGCTCTTTTTACATTATATATGTGGGGAAGTAATGTTATCTGTTTTACAGTCATTTATTCCAGCCAATATTTGGCGTATGCTGTATGACAGCCACTGTGATAGATGCTGGTGATAATTTTAAAAAGAAAGAAAGAAAAGGGGAAACGACTATGACACATCACTGCTGTGCTATTGAGGACTGTCCTTCTAGAACTTCCAGTTTAGATGGAAAGTCAGGTTTTGAATAAATAATTACAAATGGTCATACTTAAATATAGATTGGCCTATGAGTTATCATGTGGTCTGGTCCCTGCCTGCCTTGTTGGGTCCTATTTCTACTATTTCCTCCATTGT